GCCTGGTGCCTAACGGTATTGCAGGAGATTGTACAATTTCTTGCATAAGGAAATAGTGGTAAAAAGCCAGTTATTCTTGTTCCTCACTTGGCAAACCTATTGATGTGCGAACCTATTTCTCACACACAGGAACATGATCCAGAGCTCGGCTCATTCACTTCTCAGCTACTGTATGAAATCTCAGATGGTTCCCTCATTCCCCTTGGTTTGGTCATTGGGAAACCGTGTCTTCCCATAGAGGGAATAGATTTTGGCCTTTCTAGTCCAGTAAGATCTCATCAGCATAGCAAGGGTTCTCATTGAATAGTTCAAGGTGATTCCTTCAATCCAGATTTTCCAAAGGTGATGCATAATAAAGTCCCCTGTTGCTCTAAAAAAACTTGTTTAGTTAATGATGCCCAAGTCAAGCTTCTGTGTGACCCCAGGGACTGCCTGGTATTGAGTCAGCTGCTTCTTAGATTCCCTTAATTCACTCCACCAACCCAATCTCTATACCCATCTGCTTCCTCCGGTGGCACACACTGGAAGATTCCTTCTCTAGATAATGCTGATTTCAAACTATTAGTCATTTGAGATATTAAGTGGACAAAAGATTGTGTGATTAGGATTAATAAACAAGAAAGAAACTGATAAAAATCGATTTCATCACAATTATTGACAAACAGAAATTAGAGAAATGTCTGAGGATTTGTCTATGGGCACTTTTGGAGCCTGTGTAGACATGCTTATTTCTTTTCAAACAGCTTCCTAGATTGAAGAGTGGAGGTTAGAGGCGTCCTCTCTTAATGGGAATCACATGAGGTAAGATGGGCTCATTTCTCACTCTGAGCGCCGGGACACATACTATGAGCCTGATAACGTCCCCGTCACTGCACTGATGTTCCTGTCTCTTTCGACTCCTTCAGCAACCTTGTCCCACCTTCGCTCTCTTCATGGCTTTCTAACATATTCTTTTCTTTCTGATTTTACTTCATCTCACGCCCTTTTCTGTCCTGTTTCTATGATTGCACCTCCAGGATGAACAGCTTAGATTGATTCTCTAAGATAAGTTTGAATGGCGTCTCTAAGTGCCTCTCTTCTTTTTCCTCCCGCATAGTGACAGTTTAAGCAAATTGAAAACTAAGCTTGGTAAAGCTCTCATTTTATGTAAATTATTCAATTAAATTCTCACAATACTGAAAAATGGGAGTCTGCACAATGAAGACGGCACACTTGGCGCTGGAGAGATGGCTTAGTGTTAAGAGTGTTTATTGTTCTCATGGGGGACCTGAGTTCAGTTCCCTGTACCCACGTTAGATGACTCATAGTGCCTGTACTCCAGCTCCAGGGGATGTGGACACACTGGCCTCCGTGGGCACCTACACTCATATGGACCCACATATAGATGCACACACATAGACATAATTAAAAATGAAATAAATCTTCAAAATGAAGCTGAGAAACTTTAATTCAAAAGCTAAAATGGGTTTTGAACTTCTGGAAGCAGCAAGTCTGGGGAGGCACCTCACACGCACGTCTCCAAGGAGCCCTGTTCTACTGCGGTCTCTCCTCGCTCTGTGCGTAGAGCCTGCGTTTCACGGGGGCCTGGGAAGACTGGGCGTGAGCAAGAATATGAAATGCAGATTTCTCATTTTTGTGGACTAAAACCTCTGTGCCCTGAACTCTCAAGGTTTTGTTTTTTTTTTTTTTTTGTAGGTGGGATGGGCAATTTAAAAATTCACAGAGTTTATATCAGATAAGTTATAGATTAATTTTACTTGCTACATTTTTATGAGTTATCAGAATGTCCTTAAATATTGATACTACAAAGATGTTTTTATGAAATGCATACCTTGCAAGAAGTTTAGTGGGTCTTGCTTTTACAAGTAGAAATCTTGCTCCTGTGTTTTCATGTGCAATTATGAGGTCAGCAGTCAAAATGGACTACACAACATATAATACCTTTGCACTCATAGAAGTCTGATTCCTTCAAAACAGAAGTTGAATTATCATCAGCATACACATGTCCATTGCTGGTAATGTGCTTTTCCTGATTTCCGATTGTCAGTGAAGCACAGGAAACAAAGAAATCAACAGGATGCTCGGCACACACACACCACTGCTCTGTAGAACACCACTCAGCTGTGGAGCAGCTGTACAAACAATTGCTTATTAAGCTTCTAGTTCAACATTTTCTTTATTCTGCTTAAAATTAATTGTTGTGCACATATCCATTTAGGGCTGGCGCGACCACTCAGCGGGTAAAAGCATGTGCCGCAGAAACTTGAGGGTCTGACTTTGATTTCTAGATCCAAAGTAGAAGGAGAGAACTGACTCCCAAGGGTTTTTCTCTGACCTCCACATGGCTGTGGCATGTGCGCTCCCGCCCCCAATCATACACATACAATAATAAATAGAAATAAATAAAAGTTAAGAAAAAGTTACCAATGAAAAACTTGTCACTGGACCCAAACAGTTCGGTGATTTGAGATGGTTTTCCATTTCAGTACTTGAGTTTACAATTCACATCTTCACTTTAACAAAAAGGAAAGCATTATAAACAGCTGTTTTGATTACATATTTGATTATACACTGTGTATTTGGAGAGTGTGTTGCTGAGGATAAAGTGCATTTAAAGAAAGCATAACATTTTATCATAAGTTTATCCTGAAACGTGACAGCTTTGTAATCAAGGGAAATGCGTTGTAAGTGGTGTTTTGTGTGTGTGTGTGTGTGTGTGTGTGTGTTTGTGTGTGTGTGTGTGTGAGAGAGAGAGAGAATATGCATGGTTGCATGCATGTGTATACATGTATGCATATAATTGTGTTTCAAAACTATCATTTTGTTTTCTTTTGAACTTCCTTGATGTATGAGTTAATTTTTTTGTTATTTTTGAGAATTTCGTATATTTATCATTTTCCTATTATTTCCACCTGTTCCAGTTCCCCTCACTCACCCCTCGTCCCCCACTCCCTCCCAAATACTCCTTTCTACTTTGAGTATTATTGTTACATATACATACATGCATTTGTAAACGTAAATATACACATATATATTTATATATGTATAATGCACTGAGTCCATTTAGTGGTGCTTGTGCATACCCATGTTTAGGGATGCTCACTTGGGATTAGACAGCCTCTCAGGGAGTCGCCCCTGGAGAACACTGATTCTGCCTCCCTCAGCTTCCATTGATTGCTTGTAGCTCTTTGTTTCGAGGTGGGACCCTGTGAAATTTCCCCGTCCACCTGGGCATGATAACTGGTTTTGTTATTATGTGGATTTTGTTAGACTATCACACTATGGAGATTTCATTGGTATAGCTTCCCTATCATGTCTAGAATGCCTTACCTAGTACCTGGTCTCTTATCCCTCTACCTCTTAAGCTTGTTATTTAAGTAAAACTTAATATTATTTTTATAGGTGTAGGCGGGAGTTTAATCAAGAAATAAAGAAAATTTTGAGACCCATTAAAACAAGTTTAATGAGGAAAAAAAAGAATGATCTTATTTAACATGACTAGACAAGAAAGAGGAAATTAAAGATAAATCATGTCTTAAACATGAGAATAATATGAGGTATTTAGGCAATAAAATGATTCTTGTAAATAATATGTATATCATATACATGATACATGTATGTTTCTCATTTAAATGAAACATATCCATATTCAAACATACTGACTTGTTTTGATGGTTTCAGATCACCACTCTGCTTCCAAAGTTGCTATTAATTGCTTGAGGAGAATCTATGAGAATCCTGTGTGGGGTCCTCCACTGGAACAGCCTTACACTTCATGGAATTTGGAAATGCATCTTAGAAATATGAAGTCAAAGATGGCTCCTGAGTGACCTACACAGGAGTGCTGACTGCGTGTGTATTGGAAGAGCGGACCTCAGAATGAGCTTCTGACAGGAGCAGTGTTCCAAAACAGGAATCAACTTCACGTGAGCCGTCGTTGGTATAGAATTGCCCACAGATCCACCTAAATACCCCAGGACATTGTAATCTCAACTTCCATTTTTAGAATTCGTTATTCCACGCAAATATTTTAATTAAGTAATTATATGATGGTAGTAAACAAAAAGAGAAAATTTAAAACAAGAGAAATCCAAACTAATTGAATTTAACGATGTTCAAGTTCTTTGAGGCCTTGTTGTGATTGGTTCCTATTGTTTACTTATATTTTCACTTTGGCCTCTGTTCCCATAAATTTATGATTCATTTTAGTGCCATCAATGCTTTTCTAAGTGCTATGGGTAAGTGGACATCTTCACACACACACACACACACACACACACACACACACACACACACAATTTCATTTAAACTTAAATGAAAGCAATGAAGCAGGAACTCTCTTAATTTCTTGTGTCTAATTCAGCACAAAATAATGAGATATTTTATTATTTTTATTTTATGTGCATGAGTATTTTGCCTGCATGTATGTAAGTGCACCCCAGGTGTGCAGTGCCCACAGAGGTCAGAAGAGGGTGTTGGATTCCCTGGAAAAGGAGTTAAAGACACTTGTTAGCCACCATGTGGGTGCTGGGACTCAAATCGGGGTCATCTGGAAGAATAGCAAGTATTCTTAACGCCTGAGGCATCTCTCCATTCCCTAATTCAGCACTCTTGATTTTTTTCTTCTATTATACTGTAGAATAATCAGTGTCCCTGCTCCTACCTGAGTCCTTTGGATCTAGATTTAATCTTCTCTCTAGTTATCACTTTTGGAATTTTCTACTCTCCCTGATCAGAAACATTTCTCAAATGAACAGCTCTAGTGCATGAAAATACTGTGGCTCCAAACCTGGCCATCATAATAAACGATAATAATTGATTTAGAATATTAACGGCATAGCAGTGGCTAGGAGGTGCAATGTTAAGTAGATGAGCATAGATGTGAGGTTATAATGAGCACATGTTTACGGACAACAAGATTTAGGTCTGGGGTAACCAAGGGGCTGTAAAAGTTTCTTGATGGATCTTGTTTTCTTGTATTCCAGAGAGTAAACGTCTCCATGGCAATGGAAAACCACAGCGCTGTCAGGGAGTTTGTTCTTGGTGGGCTGTCTGTTGATCCCTACGTTCAGGTTGTCCTCTCTGTGCTATTCCTTCTGATTTACCTCCTCACTCTGGTGGGGAATGTCTTGCTGCTGGTGGTGATCACAGCTGATTCTCACCTCCACACACCCATGTACTTCTTCTTGAGACAACTGTCCTTCCTAGACCTCTGCCACTCATCTGTCACGGCTCCCAAGATGCTGGAGAATCTACTTTCTGAAGAGAAAACCATCTTTGTAGAGAGCTGCTTGGCTCAGGCCTTCTTTGTGTTCGCCACTGGCGGCGCTGAAGCCTGTCTGCTTGCTGTGATGGCCTATGACCGCTATGTTGCCATCAGCTCCCCTCTGCTCTACAGCCAGGTGATGAGTAAGCAGCTCTGTGTGGGGCTCGTGTGGGGGTCCTGGGGTCTGGCCTTCATTGACGCGCTCATCAATATCCTTCTGGCTGTCAGTTTAGTCTTCTGTGAGGACCAAACTATTCCCCACTTCAGCTGTGAGCTGTCTTCTCTCTTCCCTCTGTCTTGCTCCAACACCTCTGTCAACTTCACAGTCCTGCTCTGCTCCTCTGTCTTTCATTTCTTTGGAACTCTTGTTTTGATAGTTTGCTCTTATGCCCGCATTATATCCGCGGTCCTGAGGGTCAGCTCCAGCACAGGCAGAAACAAGGCCTTCTCCACCTGCTTGTCCCACCTCACTACTGTGATCTTGTTCTATGGCTCGGGCTTCATCAGCTACCTCTTACCTGCTTCAGGTTCCCCCCTGGAAATGGTCTTTTCTTTACAGTACAGCGTGATCACGCCCATGCTGAATCCCCTTATCTACAGCCTGAAGAACAAGGAGGTGAAGGCAGCTGTGAGAAGAATGGTCAGAAAATATTTTCAACCTGTTCTGTAGATGATACAACATCTTGGTGAGACAGATAGGGGACCGCAATGCTACAGGATCAAAGAATGACCTTGAAGTGTCATGGCATTTGGGACCACTGGAGAGACCACAGACTCAATTTGGGTCAAATTAGCCAAATTTGTGAAAGCTGCAGTTGACTGACTGTCTCCAGATCGAGATAAGAATCTGAAGTGAAGCTGTGAGAGGAAAGGTATCTTTCAAAGGCAGAAACCACAAGTTGCTTCATTCCTGTGGTATTGGCGATTGCAAGGATAGTGGACTCACACTGACTGACCCTTAAATGCAGCAATGAGCAAGTTTACCGAAGACAAAACAAACAATAGTCATTTCCTTGACAGATGTAAACCGTGAGGGTAAGGGGCTTTCTGGTTATTGTTATTTCAGCATATTGCTAAGAATAATAGGGTATTTTTCAGGTTATTTTCCCTTGGGTGGGCAAGGAATGCACAGCTGCAATGTCTGGGTGGTGACATTCCTCCCTGTGGTCAGCTATTTCTAAAGGAAAACGGACTTCTCAGGGGAAGTGAATCACTGGAACTCAGTTCAGACCTTGAGCTGGCTGTTTAGCTGGCTTAAGAAAAAAATGGAAGTGGGGTCTCAAAATGGAGTTAGTTTCGTCACAGGGGAGCTTTTGATTGCCCATGATGGGACTGCTTCTGGGAGCATGATAGCTTTTGCTGTTTCGAAATATTTATGAAGAGGAAGAAAACTCTTCAGAAGTCAGACTTATTCAGAAAAGGAGAAATGAATCCGGTCATTTTCCCAGGGGATTTTATAAAAAATGAGTTTCCCCTCTGTGTGAACATCTACTGTAAGGACTGCCCGTTGCCCTTTCATAGCTTTTCTAATAATACACGAAAGTCTCAGAAACCTGACTTTTTTATAATCATATGGCAATCAGAGGGTGGAGGAAACCTTGGAGACGTTGACGATCCTCTCCCTTTCTCCTGATGATACATTGCCACATGGAGTGAAATCAAAAGTAAAGAGGAATTATCCAGAATTTTTTCTAGGAAATTCAAATATTAATTAAGAATAAAATATAAAGCATTCGTAACCAAGCCAATGAGACTTATATCCCAAAGAAACTATTAACCGTGGTAACCGGGCCACTCCTTTTGAGTGATATTTTTAAAAAAATGGTGATTTTTAACAAATTTGACACCTTTTTGAACTTATGCCAAGAAATGACCAAAATTTCTGTGATAGCAAAATGTAATTCTCCTAATTCCAGGGACCTCTAGACAGATATATTTAAGGTTATGCAATAGAAGGACATCCTAGATGATCTAGGTGGGTCCAATCTAGTCATGTGAGTCCTGAACAGCAATGAGCATTCTCCAGCTAGACAAGGCAGATGGGAAAGTCAGAAACAACACAAGACCAAGGATTCACCACCACCGCCCCTCCATGCCAGGTTTCCTGATGAAGGAGGCCATGAGGGAGGGGTTATGGGCAAGTTCTAGAAGATGAGAACACCAGCCACCAGCCAGCAGAGAAACAGGAAGCTTCCATTTATGGAATGAATTCACGTCACTGAATTCTGCTAACAGCTCGTGAACAGCGCGTGGGAGCCTGAAGTGATCTCTTCCCGGACACTCCCAATGAGAATTGTGGACACCTTGATTTTTGCTTTAAGCAGCACAGTGTTGAGACCACCCAGGCTTCTGATCTAATGAACTGTAAGATAACATATTTGCATTGATTTAAATTACTAAATGGATAGAAATTGTTATGACAGTAATATAAAATGAATATAGTCCCAAGACTTTTATTATTCTATTTAATTATCTCAATAAGTATGTGCAGTAAGTTATTATGTTAGTTTTCTTGGCTAATGAAGAAACGAATCACATGATCTGTGTGTTTGTCAAGTGATTAATAACAAGATGGCGAAGTCTGACTGTAAGCCGGGCAATCCGGGCTAAGCTCTGCTTTCAGATACTGAATTATCCCAGCCCCCACCACTTACGTTTGGAAGTGTCCCACATCCTTTCTATAACCACTCACTGTTCCATAGAATTATTGATAACCAAAGAATGGTGACTAGCTCTGAAACAGGTATTAAAAGTGAACTGTTGGTAAAATGTACAGCTTGGTATTTAGGAAAACGTGGATATGTACCAAGATGCCCAAGATGGAGTGAATCCTGTCCTTTAACTGGCTGTGGTATATGATTGCCACTCTTCTGTTAGGATATGTGATCGCCTGAGACCGTAGACCCTGTACTAACCCTGTGAATAGTGGAAAGTTACTAAATTAGGAGCTACGTGAGAATGAGGATGGCCACGACTATGGGCCCTTCTGCTTCCAAGTCAATGGTTTCATTTCTTGGTTTCTTACCTTGAGGTACAAAATTAAGTTCAAGGAATATATATGTTTGTGTGTGTGTATTACACACATATACACACACTGAAAGAAAATCTGCCATTCTACAGACAGAGCTGAGGCTGTACAAAGTGAACTCAGATGTGGATGCTCAGTTCCATCACTAACTGAATTAACTATCATACCACATTGCTTGTGGAAGAATTGGATGCTGATTATTGAATTATAGCATGTCAACAGCTTGGAGGATTTGGAAGACCTCGAAGGCCATGAACCACCTTAGTAAAGCACTCCTCCCTTCAGCTGTGTATCCTGTCAGGAGCGTGTATATCCCTCCATGCTGTTTGGCCAAGTTCCAGGACTGAAGACTGTCCAACACAAATCGTGAGATCAGAATAAGAGAAGAAGAGTGTGAGTGCCCGTGTACATGCCCCTGTGCGTACCCACGGAAGGCAGAGGAAGATGTCAGGTGTCCCGCTCTGCCACACTCCGTCTTGATCCCGTGAGACAGGGTCAATCACTGAACCCGAAACTCACGTTCTGGCTGCAGTGGGCAGGGGCTCCAGGGAACTGCCGATCTCCTCCCCTCTGGGCTGAGGTTCCATGCACACACAGCCATGCCCAGCTTCGTTTACAGGATGTTGGAGATTCAAACTCGGGTCCTTATGTTTGCACAGCAAGCACTTCATTCTGCCAAGTGATCTCCCCAACCCCTAGATCAATTTTTGTATCCAACCGTATTTCTGGAAATGTGTTTTCTTTCAACTTGGAGAGGAAATTTAATTTGTGTGCAGTGGTTTGTCTTTGAAAATTACTTTTAGCTTGTCTGTATTCATTTATACAGACATAAATTTACCCAAATATTGAATAGAGCCATGCCACAGCGTCTACTTCTCGGCGATGTTCTTTCTCTGCCTCACTACCCTTATTACATTTTTATCTACTTATTCTCCACTCAGTACACCTGTGCTAACCACAGAGTAGCTATCTTTCTCTGTTTATATATTCCTAGTCAAACATGTGCACATATGTGTGTATAAATAAACATATTTGTGAGAGAATTCCCATCCTGAATTTAAATATATAGATAGCATGTTTCATACATGGCTAATGGCATAGCTGTGGTTTGCTGAAGATTTCTTTTGCGAACAAAAAGCTCCGTTTTGTGACTGCCATAATTTCTCAAACCATTTCCTTATGTTTGAGTGACCTTTGTTTCCATTTTTAAATAACTAAAAGCAATGTTGTAATAAACCTTTTTGAGTATACAATAAAAAATTTAAATGCCATTATTTCTCTGGGATTGACTTCCAGAAATAGGTTTGTGAAGCATACGAAGTATATGTATGCTTGGAATTTTACTTAGTGCTTCCAGGGTGTGCTGTAACTTTCTACATATTCACTGACAAAGCCAGAGTGCCTACTTCCTAAGGAGCCTGTGGTGTGCTGGGATTTTTTTATACTAATTTTTCATTTTTGTATGAATTTGCATTCCTCTGACCACTAGAAAATATCTTTAAACGTATTAGTGAAACATCTGCATCTGCTGCTTTACCAAGATCATATGCACAGGCCAGGCTTTAATTTTACTTGCTGTTTTAAAAAATATTTTATTATTTTTATCTGCATGTGTGTGTTGTCTGCATGTAGGTAAGTGTACCCGTGTCATGCAATTCCTGCAGAGGACAGAAGAGGCTGTTGGATCCCCTGGAACTGGAGTTACAGACAGTTGTTAGCTGCCATGTGGGTGCTGGGATTCGAACCCAGGTCTTCTGCAAGAGCAGCCAATGTTCTTAACTCCTGATCCATCTCTCCATCCCCAACTTTACTTGCTTTTTAAATTTTTATTTACTTCTATTTTACCTGCGTGAGTGTATTGCCTCACTTACTTACGTACTTATGTACGTAAGTGCCTCCGTGTTGTGCAATGCTCGCCGAGGACAGAAAAGGCATGGCACTCCATGGAACTGGAGTTCTGAACAGTTCTCAGCCACCGTGTAGGTGCTGGGATACAAACCCAGGTCTTCTGTAAGAGCAGCCAGTGCTCTTAATCGCTGAGCCATCTCTCCAGTCCTCAACTGCTTTTTTAAACTCAGTATTTCTGTACTTTCCATTTCAAGTGTGTTTAAGCATCAAAGTCATGTTACTTGCTCATCTCCATTTATGGTAATCTTGAACCATGGAAAAGCTTTTGTTTTTTGTACATAGTCTTATGTAATTTGTTTTCTTCAGCACTGTTTCTTTAACTATCTTGGTATGGATTTTCTTTACCTTTGGTTTGAATTGTTTCCCTACCAAAATGTC